TATGGCTTACAAACCAAAATAGTTAAAATTATGCTTATGGCTTACAAAAATACAAACACAATCTAAACATAAATGACAAAAACATAAAGTTATACTATTCGGTACGGTACGGTATTGACCGGTACCAAAATCTTGATACCTCTACCATACCATACTCTATTAGTACGGTACCGAATATCTTCCCATACCAAATGAAACGGTATGAAATCGGTATGGTACGGTGCGGTTAGGGTACAGTTTCGGTATTCGGTTTAAGATGCCCACCCCTAATCAAAAGTAAGAGTTGGTCTTGGAGGGAGGGAGGGAAGGGAGGGTAAGGGAGCCCAAACTGCAGTTGATAAAATAACGAAGGCAACGTGAGAAAGAGAAGGCATCCCTTTCTTTCCTTCAAGTGTGAAAGGTTTGAACACTAAGCAAGGCTTGGCTCTCTCTCTCTCTCTCTCTCTCTCTTCTTTTTTAAACCCACCATCTAATGTCTCCCACCCCAAACATTCATCAACAAAAACAAAACCAAACCAACTCCCACCCAAAAAGGTCACTCTTTTCATCTTATCCCTCACCCTATTTCTGCTTTTGTCTTTCTATTCGTTCTCTTTTCTCCTCCCTAACTCAAAAGGTAGAACATATGTGGCAAGCACAGGCCAGCAAATCTTCTTATGGAGAATCTATCAAAGCTCTTGAAGCTGACATACAACATGCCAATAGCTTGTGAGTCATTTTTTTCTTCAAAAAATTTATTTTTGGTTGTATATTTATGATCAAGTATGGTTCTTTATTGTTGATCAGTCAAAAACTGTGGAATTCATATGCATTTACTTTAGTTGTTTGTTTTCCTCTTCTGGGTAGTTTGTTGTGGTGTTAACTCAATTGTGGTTGTTGGATGGTATTTCTCATTTAAGAGGGAAGGTAAAGTTGGTTGTTTGTGCCAAATTGCCAATTTACTTGCTTCTCTGGAAAAAGAAAATCCCCACTTTCGTGTCATAGGCTGCTCTTGTTTCTCCCTGATAATTGTCGTGTGAACTTTTGTTGTTATATAGGCTTAATTCCTCAGGTTCAAATACATTTTGATCTTTGTTGGCAAAAAAAAAAAAATCCTTTTTTCATTGGTTTTTGAGATGGGTTTTTGCAGGGCAGCTGCTCTTCCCAAAGATTATGGTGGGAACTGCATCCAAATGAGATTATCTTATAGCCCCTTTGCCCCCATTTTCCTGTACTTCATTGAATGGATGGATTATAGTTGCACTGATATACTCCCCAATTATTTAGGCCTTCTCCACATACTTGTATACAAGGTGGGCTGCTGTTCTTTCTTTTTTGCTTTCTTACTTATTTTTTGTTTCCATTTGTTGCCCAAGATTCCAAATTAAGCTTTACATAATTGTGCAGGTTTATATGGATGGAATGCCTTCAATGTCCTCCAAAGAACAGAAGGTCACTTTAAGGGAATTTTATGGTATGCTATTCTCTAGTTAGCTTCTTATTAAATACATAGCCCTTCTTGGAAAATAAAAAATAAAAAATTTGTTTTGACATCTGAGTGCATTCTGCTGGAAATCATTGCAGCTGTGATATACCCTTATCTTAGACAACTTGAAGGCGAGTTTAACGAACTGGAAGATAATAATAATCATAATTACAATAATAAGAAAAGCCGATGCACAGATGTTTTGAGCCGAAAGAAGATGGAAGGCTGGAGGAAGCTGTCGGATAAAGATCAAGATAGAGATGATGAATGTGGAATATGCATGGAAAACTGTACAAAGATGGTGTTGCCCAACTGTGGGCATTCCATGTGCATC